AAATATATTTTATATTATTTATCTATTTTATGTGAGCTCTATTTTAATATAAAAATAATTTTTAATTAATATTTGGATTATTTGCTATAAGACTATTTTTATGAAAATATATTTTTATCAAGAATTATGTTTGTTATTTATTAAAAGGAGGAAATATGTTTAATTATTTTATGAGAAGGGAAGGAGGAACGTAATGGTCTTTTGCTAAATATTATTATTATTATTAGTATTATTATTTATTTTTATTTTTAAGAAAAGGAGGTGGTCAAAATTTATTTTCACGCTTCTCACTTTCTCTCTCTCTCTCTTTTTTTTTTTTTTTTTTTTTTTTTTTACGCGTTATGCTCTGAAGACTCAATTGAACCATGAGGAGGAGGTCACCGGGAACCGTACGCGCTTCGTCTTCTACTCATCAAGGTAAGGGGAAGTAAGAAACTCGCTCAAGGGTGTGAGAATAATTGTTGGGTAGCAGGATTCACCCCCACACTACTAGAATTCTCTTATTACATGCGACTTTTCCTGTGAATTTTTTATAAAAATTTGCAGGAAATGTTGTTCCTACAAATTTTTCTGCGAAATTTTATCTGCAGGTAATAACTTCGTGCATAATATGTTTTTACGAATTTTAAAATTCGCAAGAAATTTTTCTACGAAACTTCTTGTGAAAAAAATTCGCAGGAAAGTTTCCTGCAAAAAAAATTTACAAGAATGTTTTCTGCAAATTTTTTCACAAGAAATTCTGCAGGAATATTTTTTACGAAAAAAATTAAAGAAATTACTATAAATTCTATCAATAATTCTTCAACTTTCAAATGCTCACAATGAATTCATCCAAAGCATTTGTTTCCACGCTTCCAACATGTGATACATAATCTTTTAAATTCTAAGATTGTAGATTATAAGCCTAACACTCAACCATACAAATCAACTTGTAAGGTAAGTGTTGCCCCAACTTATATATTCTTTAATTGTTTTATTTTCAATCGATGTGGGACTTGAAGTTTTTTTAAAATATTAAACTTATAAATTAAAATATTTTTTTGATTTTTTTTGCGGATTAAAATTGGCAGGAAAATCCGCAGGAAAAGTTACCTGCAAATTTTTCTACCATTTATCAAACATTACTTGTGTTAGTACCAGAAAATGAATTCGGAGACACTCGAAATATAGGGGCGCTCAAAATCTTAATTGATTGGAGAATAGCAAAGGAGGTCTCAAAGATGAAGAGGATCAGAGGATACTCGAAGACACTTTTCGCGAAGCTCTCGAAATTATGGAACAAGGAAGGATGCTTCTTAGAAGAAGGGCTCACAGCCTCGCAGTCTCTCAAAGTACAAGCAAAATCAGGAAACATTCAAGTATAGTTTCGTGGATTACTCGAAATCCCAAGAATCTGGACATACACGAGGACACTTCGTAACCTCTCAGAATGAATAACTTAAAGGAGACACGATCTAAGAGTGGTCGAAGTAGCATTGGATAAGGGTCAAAGGCTGCAGAACGGTTTAGGGAAGTTAATGAGCAGTTCCATGAATTATCCAAAGATGGGCCCCGGAATAAGCCACGATGTGGAAGTTTAGAACGGTTATGTACTTCCGGGGCACGTCAGAAATAGTTAACTTTCCTGAATCTTTATCTATAATTGTCTATAAATTAAACGAGCATTGCTCGTAGCAAGGGGTCAGAAATCTAATTCCCACAATTCTCACACGCACTCCACAGCCCAGCCCGCGCATAAGGCATACTGTGCTTACGAGACAGCTTTGGGTACGATTTCTCGACCACTTTTCTTTTCCTTTTTTAGGAGTAGCGTAGCATAGCATAATCTAGTCTAGTGTAGTGTAGTCACTCTGAACATGTTTCGTTATCCTTACGAATTGTAATTCTGTTTCCATTTAATGAAGGATATGATTTCTGCAGTCAATATACATGTCATCTGTTCGATTCACGTTAATTATTATATGCATGAAATTGATTGTACAATTAGCATAGATCTTCTGATGTGCTGAAACAAGCATAGATCTTCTGAAGTGCTAAAACTGGCATAGATCTTCTCACGTGCTTGAAATAGTGAGCATAGATCTTCTGATGTGCCAAACCAGCATAGATCTTCTGAAGTGCTCGAAACAATGAGCATAGATCTTCTGACGTGTTGAAACAACACCCTAAATTAACTCTATTCGCTGCTTGTACGAATTTATTTTCTTTCACTGAAAGTCTTCGATTCTGTCATGTCACGAACACCACAAATTGAAACGTGAACTCGTGCTAGTTCGAACAAAAAGAACCTACGAACGAAATCCCCCACAAACAAATTGGCACGCCCGGTGGGACTCGTTTGGTGAGCTAAGTCGAACTAAGTGAACTAGTTTTGTGTGTGTTTAATTTTTATGAGACTTAGAAGTGGGAGAACTATGTCTACATCCAGCAGAAGAGATGCGCTTAATGAAGAACAGGGTAATGGAGAAAATCGGAATACAAATCAAGAAAATGTGCCAAATGAGACCAGGGGGCAATGTCTCCACCTCCTGTAAATATTCCGAACTCCGCGGGATTTTTGAATGCGTCACAAGAAATGGTGAACGCTACCTGCGAATACCCATGGGGGATGCCTCAGAATTGGAGAAGTACCCAGCCCATGAGCGTAGAAATGCCAATACCATATTCTGGGCACAATCCTCAAATGCAAATATCATCATATGGGTATAATGCAGCCCCAAATGGGATGGGCTTTATCATGCACGATCCTCACCAGCATGTTGGCACAAGCCAAGAAGGGTCGTTGGTTCGACAAAGTAATTATATACCCACGGGTATAAGCAATGAAGCCATGATAGCCCTTCGACAACAAATGGATCATAGTAACCACGATATGGTGAATTTGTTGTCTACACAAATGCACAACATACTCACACCCCTATACGAGCTGATGGGCAAAATAGGAGATAAAATTAATGATAATCGGCTCTCGAGAGATACGAGTGTAAATCTGAACGGCCTCGAAAATCCAACCGTCAATGAGACGAATATTCGAGAGATTAGAAATCGTATCAATCTCAATCAAGGGGGACCTCTGAGAAATGTCGAGGAAAATTTGGATCATATAGTCGAGAGGGTACTGAATAGGCACGGATTTGAAACGGGGCGAAATGAGCACCCTTACTTTGTATCTGCCTTTCCTGACTATATTACCCAATCTGAGCTACCCAGGGGGATGAAAGTCCCAAAATTCTCGAAATTCGCAGGAGAGTTAGGTGAATCCACCGTAGAACACATAGCCAGATATCTAGTCGAGTGTGGAGACCTAGTGGGTAATGAATATTTGAAAATGAAATATTTTCCAAGTTCACTAACCAAACATGCTTTTACGTGGTTTACGACTTTGCCACCTAATTCGATTATTACTTGGGCACAATTAGAAAGGAGTTTCCACGAAAACTTTTTTCGAGAGGAAACCAAGGTGAGCATAGTTGATTTGATGAATATAAAGAGGCAACATCATGAGACATTGGACGAATATTTGAATAGATTTAGGCAACTAAAGTCTCGATGTTACACGAATATTCCAGAGCATGAGTTGGTAAAAATTGCAGCCACTGGGTTGGATTTTTCGATTCGAAAGAAACTTGTAAATGAACAATTGAGAGATATGGCTCAACTAGCAGAGAAAGTGAGACGAATTGAACAAATTCGAGCAGAGAAAGAAAGGTTGAGAAAATTTGACAAGTTCGTTCGAAAAGAAAAAGTGGCATATTTAGACAATATGGACGTTAACGATGATAATTTCGAATGTCTAAATGAAGAAATGGAAGTGAACTTAGCTGAATTGCAACCCGGGCCAACCTATCAATGCCAATTATTAAAACCTGGGGAAAATAATATAGAGGCCGGATCGAATAGAAAATATAGTTTCGATATAACGAAAGCTGATAGAATATTCGATATTTTACTGAAAGATAAGCAAATTATACTTCCGGAAAATCACAAAATTCCTCCTTTTGAACAAAGAAAAGGGAAAAAATTTTGTAAGTATCACAACATGTATGGTCATTGGACTAACAATTGTGTACGTTTCAGGGACATGATCGAGAAGGCGATTA